ATTGGGTTCCTACACCCTAGCCTTAGTGGTCATGCCTCAGTGCTATTCCACTGTCCTCTACGCAATGACCTCGGCTCAGTATTAATAGGGCTTAATGATAGGCACAATACATGAACAGGGCTGGTCTTATTAATTGATGACAGTCACCCTGGTCTAGGCTTACTCATCATGTCATTCTTAGACACAATAGCTCAGATTGCATCCAGTCTATACACCAAGACAGGTAAAGTATGGGGCAGTTGGGTTGGTGCTTCATATCCTGCGTAAAAAACAGGGGAAAAAATACACGGGGTTCAGGGCGATTAGCCCCCTGAATGCCCAAAAGAGCCCCCCCCCCCCCCCCCAAAAAAAAAAAAAAAAAAAAAAAAAAAATTGCATACAGTTCAATGCAAAACAAAATAAAGAGTGTTATTTTGATGCAAGCAAGCTTGAAAAGTAGCCCCCAAAATTTATTTTTTTCCCTGGTAAAAAAAGGCTGCTTGTTTACAAAGAACAAAGTGCTGTAGTACAGTGGCTGAAAATAGAATCTCTATTCCATGTGGAGCTGATATTGCCTAGTAATAACAGAAGTATTAGTTTAATTGCGAGCCCGTGCTTAGATGAACATAACCAAAAGGAAAGATAGGAATTCAGAGAAAAGGGGAGGAGAATGAAGTCTTCCATGACAATCAGGAATGAATTTACTTCCCATTAATATTGCAACATTGGATAAACCACTCCAATGAGAAGGGGCATGTGAAAAAGATGCACTTGCCACAGCTAAGTTAACACAAAAATAAGTCAAGAGGCATGTTCAATGCATACATCATCAATTTATCTAACAACAAGGGACTTAGTAACATTGTTCAGATTAGAGAAAATGGTGCTAAGGTAGTGACTTCAATGTTAGATGTACAATTAAAGATAATCTGAAAGTTTTAGTGAAAACAGGCTGTTATCAATGATAAAAATTGGGAAAAACTGATCTATTTGATTCATTAATTCTCCCAACTATATTACTATAAAATAATTTTTGCATGTTAGAGGGTTAGTACAGTAGAGGGAATATACCGTATTTGCCGGCGTAAAGGCCGCAGTATTTTTTAAAGAGAAAATATCAAAAAGTCGGGGTGCGGCCTTTGCGGCGAAAGAGTAAAAAAAATAAAAAACGTAAGTCAAACCAGCACAAATTTGCACATATGGGACTACAAACGGTACAATAACTATACCACTATGGTACAGGACATTTCCACACGTCTTACCAACAATTTTATCTTGCATTGTTGACATGAAGACGAAAATAACTTCCTAAAACAACATTTGCCGATATATCTTGATCTAAGTTTGTGCCAATGCATTGTAAAAGTAAAGGAAGGGACCATTTAACGGAGCTGCCGCGAAGCATCCATCCGAAGTCGCTATTTTGTTTTCCATTTCATGCAATTTCCCATTACACCGTACATTGTGGTAGGGGTATATCGGACACCAAATCTGCCTGTGATCACTTTTTTAGCTAAACTTCTGGTAAATTATAAGAATATTAATGAATTTGGTATCCGTTTGTAAAAAAAAAATACTGTTTTACAAGAAAATTATTATTATTTTGTTTTGTCCGTTTGTTTGTTTTTTCCTTTGTTTTTTTCCTCTTTGAAAAGTCAAAGTTGGGGTGCGGCTATGCGGCGTTGCGGCCTTATCGCCTGCAAATACGGTAATAAGTAATGTTACTAGTTCACTTTAAGAAGTGATGTTCAGAAATTAACAGGGGTTTAATTTCTGCACATGAAGGTATCAGCGTCTCCAAGGATAACATCCTAAGTCAAAGATTAATGAAGAGTTTCCTTATAGCAGACTCTAAGATCCTTGACGTCCATGTGAGTCTACAGCCGAGCGGTTTATACAGGTGTCATCCATATGCGTACAGGAAATAAAGGCCACTCTCTTCTAAAATAGCCCTCCCTCAATTGCCAACGCTAAATTAACTCGAATGACAATGACCCTTAATTAACACCCGTAACCATGTTCATCCAGGGCTTGCATTTTACTGTCTCTAATAAGCCAGTGACAACTCTCTACTGACCGAGGCAATGAACCTCATTAGGAAAGAACGTATGTCCCTGTAGAATTATCTCAACAACTAACTAATTCTAGAATCAACCGTGCTATTGTGCACTTGAATGGATGTAATAAAGATATATCCTTGATGGGGATACAGAAGCTAAAGTGCTATTACAGTAGGGTAATAAAATGCATCTTAATTACTGATGTGTAGTACTGCAATTTGAAGTTGAAATTATTATTGTAAATAGTGATGGCTATCCTATAGGCAAAATTATTTTGTATTCAAAAGAAAGTTACTCCCTTTTAAACAAAACAGTGCATTGTCTATTTTCACTAGTTTCTTATTTATTTCATCTCCTTTTCTGCAATTTAGTTTTAATGCATAGATGGCCATTACAATTTTTAAATGTAACATAACATTACATAAGTGTTGAAGAAAATAAATTCTGCTAACTTTATAATAAATTACCTTTTTTCAAAATCATACACTAGATATAATGTACACCGTAACATCATTCTTTTATCTCACAAAACATAATAGAGGAGGTGTGCAAACACATGTATGACTGGACAAAAACTGACCGCAGTATAGGTCAGTTTGTGTGTAATTTGGTAGCAGATGGTCAACTGGCTGTTGACCACATCGTTAAAACCCAATGCTTGTCTTGTACAAACTACTGCAATTAAAGTAATTAAACATCACACTCGTATGGATCACTTGAAACCAATCAATTTATCACTAACAGTATACCATGTCTAATGCAAGTTGTACCTGATAATAAGCTGGTGTACAATCATATTTATGTACTATGTTAATATGTTTTAAAATACCAGTTGATATTATAGCCATGCACACCAAGCTCATATAACTCTGTTTGAATAAGTACACCCCCATACATTGTCACATGTGGTAAAATCAAATACGGTTTGACTTGTGTTCTTTGAACATAAAGAGATGAGGAAATTTTTGAAAAAATTGGGCCGGAGAGGCTCTGGATTTATAAACAATATTTTCTGCACTGCATTATAAAAATAGTGCTGAACAAGCAGGTAGTATTGACTCCCCTTAAAGGGATCCGGTAACTTTGTCTCAGATTCTGAAACAAAATTCTGGATTTAGCTCATGATGCAATGATAATTATAAATTTTTAGGTCAGTCAGGAACCCCATGACTTTTACAAGTTGAACGCCTGTCTTATTATCAAGATATTTATGATTGGAATTACAAATTTTGAAAACCGTTTGCCTGACGGTTTTCATAACACTACAGTCTATTAGGGAAAACGAGTATGGTAAAACCGGTCACTCAAAGATTTTTACTTTTTTGAGGCACTTCTTGATCATTTTGAAGCGCGATTTTTTTTTAGGGCTTCAATATTACACCATATCACAGACACTAATAACACGTAGGGCCGTGTATCTCAGATTTAACAATGTTAAACGATCCCTTTAACATAAAGCAATATATGTGGCTTAATATATTTCATGAACAATATATCATACAAATTGATGCGAATAACAATTTTTGCGCCTTCTGACTAAAATCTATGCTTCACACAATAACATTTTCTCTCTCTCTCTCTCTCTCTCTCCTCTCTCTCTCTCTCTTTCTCTGTATATCATACTCAATCACTGCATCATTTTCAACAGTTATTTATCAAGGTTAGGAAGTGGATATACTTGTTACCATGTAATCATTTTGAATAACTCTCATATGTATTCAACTACATCAAGATTATTTTACCAGCTTTTCTACACAAACAGAATGAGCAAATGATTCTTACATAAATACATGCATACAAATATCATTAATAATTGATGATATTGAACACAATGTTCCCAACTGCTTTTGATGCAATCAGTGAGTCTCAGAATATCTTTAATCTGACTGATAAAGAATGTAGAAGAATGTCCATCCATCCTCTTACTCTCCCACTTTTAAAAAGAGTTGAAAGAGGAAAGAGCAAGGTATTCAAAACAGGTTTCTCACCACAGAACATTAGACATTGGTCAATATCTGTACAATTTCATAGACCTTTCTGTAGGTTTGAAATTTTAGGAGGATTCATCATTCACATGATAGTTTTCATGCATTAATGGATGAGCGACAATCTCCTTTTATGTATACCTTGAACAAGTAGAGCAAGGAATGGACTACGGCACACTAAAGCCAAAGAGAGTTGAAATACCATGTAAATATTGGTGTGTGTGTGTAGCATAAGGACTAATAAATCTAAAACCACAAAATGGTAACAAAACTTCTTGCCTGAACCATGTTATATATTTAACGTAACTTATTAAATTTAGAATTATTGGATGTGTTTTATTGACAAAAGATACTGTATACTCGATGTAATAGAGCCTGAAAGTGGTAATGAATGTCAATGCAAATATTAATCAGTGTAATCAATTCTTTCATCCAGGATTCTGATCTCCCCTTGGTTTACATTCAATTTTGTTTTCATTGTTGATTTACTACGAACATGTATCATCCCATAAATGACAAGGATATAAGCAAGTAACAATAAGACAGAACATGCTATATGAGCTGTACATAAACAGGGGCCTGGTTCACACACAAATACCCTAAATATTAGTTTGTCACCCTTTAGAAAATAGTTTGAATGGAACCCTGGTGATAAAGATATGCATGATTCCATAAAACTAGCGATTTCTGTATGAATTAAACCATTACAAATTTTGCAGGTGGTTCAGGTTTGCAAAAGTTTCTACACCACAAAACACTTGAATCACAACTGATGCATTGCGGATTTTTTGCTATTAGTAAAAGCTTCTTCCTTGAAAATGGATGTTGTTCAAAATTTGCAAAAGGTTTATGTCAAGATAGGTCCTGGATTCATACAGTAGTCAATAAATAGACTGACACATATGTAGTAGTAGACTATCCACTGTGCTACACTTATGCGCCATGAGAAAAAGATAAAAAGACTCTTAATTCTTACCTCGCTCTTCTCCCTGGCTCTCTCCAGTATATGCTCCTCTATGGTACCCTTACAGATGAGCCGATAGACTGTGACCTGCTTGGTCTGGCCCAGCCGATGGGCCCGGTCCATGGCCTGCTGGTCTACTGTTGGGTTCCAGTCACTGTCATAGAAGATCACTGTGTCTGCAGCGGTCAGGTTGATACCTAGACCACCAGCACGGGTACTCAGTAAGAACACAAAGATGTCGGTTCTAGAGAATATAAAGTATGTATGAAATGCTTTCAGTTAGTATTGTGATTATCATCTATTGACTGCATTTTTCAAGATAAAATATATAATCAATGCAATCAAAGGTGTATTGTGCGATATGTTACCATGGACTTTTAATTTCAAATAATACCATAAATCAAAATTAGGATGCTCGATCAATAGCAGTGAAAGAAAAAAAAGGACATGTAGCTCTGTAGAGCTCTAAAAGAGGTTCCGTAATAGATAACCCCGAAATACATCTCCTTTAGCCCATGTACATTTGATTTTTAGTACCAAAATGCAAGGAGCTCCAATGAAACAAAAATTATTATTATGCTGATTATTACCATACAGAATCTACACATTGGTAGTAACTAATACTGAATCAGGACACACTGAGGAGGGGCAAACCTAATTAGAACCCGAAACTCCTGCATGCATCAGCATGGAACATTCACAAATTTCCCAGATGGTTACAATTTGCATAAGATTTTCATGTTGCAAAATAACAGAATCACGACTGGCACAAGATTGAATTATTGCAAACTTGGACAAATTTCTTCTGGTCACAGAACCCACCTTGACTGAAAGCCAGCCACCATGTCCCTGCGATCTGAGATCTTAGAAGAACCATCCAACCTCATGTAGGTGTGTTTGCGATGCCATAAGAATTCCTGACATGAAGAGACAGAGAGAGAAAATCAAATATTTTTAATGTAATGAGACAGAGAGGTTGTTACTTGGTTACTTGGTTGTTGTTCCTCCAAAAGATTCCTGGTGGAATTTAAACTGGAGGTCGTGGTGGCAGAGAGTGGACTTATTTCGGAAGGAGTGCTACTTTAAACTTTGCTGAGTCAGTCAGGGATACTACGGTCGGATTGAGATTATTCCACGCTTCGGTTGTGCGAGGAAAAAAAGAGTTCTTGTATACATCCAATCTGGCTAATGGTATTTCAAACTGACTTGAGTGCCCGCGTCTGCTACGATCTGGTTTAGGTTTAATGTGGGTTCGGGGATCTATGTCCAGCTGGCCATGTAACATTTTGTGGAAACAGCTTAGACGGTGAGCTTCGCGTCTGTCTTGGAGGGAGTTCCACTTAAGAGAATTTAGAAGGTGGGTGACGCTTGCTTCTCTCTGATAAGTGCTTGTGACAAAACGGGCTGCCTGCCTCTGGACTCGTTCGATAGAAGAAATGTTCTTAGCTGTGTATGGGTCCCAAGCAGCAACTGCATAATCTAAGTGTGGCCTAACGAGAGTGAGATAGAGTTTCTCCTTAATGGAAGTTGAGCAGTGATGAAAGTTGCGTCTCAGAAAACTCAAAACCCCAATAGCTTTTGTTGTTGCGAGGTGAGTTTGGCCATTCCATCGGAGGTCGTTCTGGATCACAACACCAAGGTACTTTGTCTGCTTACATTCTTCCAGGGTGACACCAAGGAGGTTGTATGAAGATTTACCCGGTTTCTTCTTCCTGGTGACACGCATTGATTCACACTTCTTGGGGTTGAATTTCATGCCCCATTTCTGAGACCACTCCACCATTGCATCAAGGTCTTGTTGCAGGATGTCCACGTCGTTCACTGATTTCACTGGACGGTACAGCATGCAATCGTCTGCAAATAGCTTGGTGGTGCTTTTGACTTTGTCGTGAATGTCATTTATGAAGAGCAAGAACAAGTGGGGACCGAGCACAGTGCCTTGCGGGGTTCCACTTAGAACTGGCTTCCAGTCGGAATGTTTTCCATTTACACATACGCGTTGAAGTCGTTTTGTAAGGAAATTTGTCACCCATCTTAGGTTATCTGAACGGATTCCATAATAATCTAGCTTGTGAAGTAACTTCTGGTGGGGGATGACATCAAAGGCTTTAGAAAAGTCAAGTGTTATCAAATCTGTGGTGGCTTTTTCATCTAGGTTCTTAGCCAGGTCGTTTATCGTCAAAATAAGTTGAGATTCACATGATCTGTGTCTCCTAAATGCGTGTTGATTTTCTGCCAGAATATCGAGTTCGTTAAGGTGGCTCATGAGGTTACTTTATTAAAGGATACGAACAGTGTGTGCACTTGTATTAAAACATGTTGACATACACTTGACATGATTCATCTCAAGCCCTTTGCTTGGTATCCATGTACATAATTATAAACTACAGGGGAAAAAATCTAAATATCATGCACATATAATTATATATATGTACAGATGCTAACTTTGGTTCAACCAAGAATTTCAGGTTTGTAAAGAATAACGACTCAATGATTTTGGGCTGTTAACTCCTCCTACTGCATGTATACTTTTTGAGACATCACATCAGTGACAAGTTAGGTTAAAAGAGCTTTAGTTGAGATGGTGTTGTCTTACCTCCAAGATGTCGATCATCCTTGTCATCTGAGAGTAGATCAAGACACGATGACCTTGATCTTTTAGCTGAGACAAGAGGTCATCTAGCACATGCATCTTCCCTGAGTCCGTCACCAAGTAGTCTTTGTCTAAAAAGGAAGACAAAATTAATCACATATAATCATTAGATCATCATTAAATATTAGATCTTGGTAGTTAACCCTTTTCTACATACTGCAGGCAAAGGCATCACTAATCAAAATCCACTTTTAGCACCTCAACTGCATATATAACTGTAAAATTTTGCCTATTTCCATATTCTATATGACAGAATAAAAACAAATTAAAAATTTGGAGACCTGAAAGCTTTTACGATCTTAATGGCCCGAATTCACAAAGCAAGGTTTGAGCTCAGACCAAGGTTTGAGCTCAAACCTCCTTTTGTTTCGCCAAACCTCTCTTTGTTATTTACAAACCAGGTTTGTAAATAACAAAAGGAGGTTTGGCGAAACAAAAGGAGGTTTGAGGTCAAACCTTGGTCTGAGCTCAAACCTTGCTTTGTGAATTCGGGCCAATGTGTTCAAGGGGAATTTTGCCACTTGTATCAATGGTTTTGAAGTGTATTTAAAGTATGTGTCATGTCTTTTTCTTCTGACACCTATTTGACAATCCTCATTAGCAAAATAAAAGTAAGATAATAATGAATTTGTGTATTTAAAAATACTTCAATCAGTTTTATAGGGGAAGTCCTCCCTGATAATAAGTTTGTTTTAATACAAGAAGAAAAAAACTGACTAAAGACTAGGAAACATTGCCGAGGTAAGCAATTGAATTATGTACCTGGTATCTGTATCTTCGTATATCCATAATGTGGTTTGAGAGCAGAGAGACCCCCGACAGCAGGCGGTCTGAGTAGATTGGACCTTCTCTCCTGGTAGATCTCTGGTGAACCATACTTGACACATTGCATTGCTTCTATGCTATCACCATGCCTCAGTCTAGAGAGTTGGTAGGTTTCACGACGATCCTTGCAGTAGAAGTTCACAGGTGCAGCATTTACCTGCAATATAGCATGCATCATGCAAAATGTTGATGATATCATTCTTTCATAAAATTGTAATTTATCCCCCAAAAACCGAACTTAAAGGCATTGTTTAACAATGTTCCCAGTCCTGGGATTCCTGACTGACCTAAAGCTTATAATTATGATTGCAGCATGAATTAAATCCAGGCTTTTGTTTAGAATCTGAGACAAAGATACCCAATCCCTTTAAAAAGGGTACTGAAAGACATTGCCATTTTTTACAAAACACCTAACCCTTAAAAAGAAAAAAAATTGTCGAGTTATTTGTCCCTTCTCTTATAACTTTAATCCGATTTTGTTTCCCCTATTTATCTTCACACTGAAGTTAAATATTACTGTTCTTTATTCACACTTAACATTTCTTACAATTGTGCAAACTCATTTCTTCCAGACAAATTATATCTTATCCATACACATTACCCAATATGTTTAGGAATGAATGGAAGAAGTAGAAACACACCTTTGGTATAGTATTGAAGAGGAAGGCAGGCATATCAGTCCTTTGGCATCTTCTGACAGTAACCGGTCTCATACGAGGAGCGATCAGAGAGCTCACCTGTTTGAATGCAGGACTCTCACTACCCTGGCTGGAAGGACTCTGTACAAGAAAAACATCGTTCAAAAATAAGAATTTGAAATGTAATATTTAATCAAAAATTAAAAAACAAATATCACGATCATTGCATTATGTCACTGTATTTATTTATAGACAATGACAAACCACCAACTGTAGAATTAAATTTAACAAAATTCTTGGTCACAGGAAAAAGAAGAAAATAAAAACTTCATAAATACTAAAATATCACACATCTCAGCAACTTTCCAGAATACGGTTATTGGTAGGATCTATATGAAGAAAGTACTTCATTACAAGTCATTGTTCTACTTCATTAAATGTATTGATGTTTAAAACAATATAATAAGACAGATCTCAACTAGCACCCACCTTTCCTGATCCAGCAAAGGTGAATCCTGGTGACTTTGCCCCACTGGGAGAGGCATGTGAGGTGCTCTTGTGCCTGAGAGGAGACAACACTCCTGATGAAGATGAGGATGATTGGGGTGATGATAGCACCGTGGGGGCGGGGGTCAGGGTATGGCTAGTCCTGGTCCGAACCCTCTTGTGCCATCCCGTCTCTGGCATGTGATGGAAGAGATGGGTGTTGTGAGAGGACAGGGTGGTAGTCCATGAAGTGAACAACAGCTCCTGCAAGATAGGGCTGCAGGAGCGGCTGGCTTGACTGGTTGCACAGAGTGGTCGCACAAGGAGGAGTCTGTAACAACACATACAAAAAGAGCATTTACATCAGTATTAATGCCGTAGAAAGGAGAGGATGAATAAACTATCATAATAGATGCAGAAACAGAGATTTAGACAAGATTCTAGTTGGCAATTAAAATCAAATCTTAACTTATAAAAGAGGCATAATAAAACATTTTAAAAAGTTGTAGGAAATAATCCTCATGGACATGGAATGTTTTACAAACAATTCTTGTTAAATATAGTATATATATTCTGTAAATTTCTCACAAAATCAATGAACTAGTAGCAACAGATGGTGATTGTATAGCAATGTTCAATTCAATTCATAGGGAAACAACCCCACAATTTGTTGATTTTCCAGCTTGAAATCTCTTGTAATTATGTATACAATATTTTGGAGCTCTTTCAACACTTTTACAAATATAAACAATCAAATACTTTCAATAAGATGCCATATAGATTACTTTATTTAAACTTTGCTTTTACCTCCTATTGCTGTTGACTGTCTCTTTCCAGATACCATCAAGGTAGACCCTGTAGGCGGCCTTCATGACTAGGAAAAGCAGGAGCCAACTAGCCATGAGTCCAGTCTTGAGGGACTGGAGCTGAGCTGGTGTGGTCTCCACAAAGCAGGAGAAAGAGAAGGCTGATCCACAGGAGGAGGAGCCGGGGCTGGAGCTGGGTTCACCAAACAGAGAATAGTGGATGTTCTCTGCCGTGAAGATTGAAAGCATGTGGTACAGTACCCTGTAATATAAAAAAATAGAAAAGGTGAAGGTCGTTCAAAAAATGGCAACTGCAGTGAAAATCAACATACAGTATTCTTTAAATACATTGAGCCATCTTGACAGAAAACCAGATGGGTTAAGTGTATAGAGTACTTTATTTGTCATCTCTACATAAATGGTTACAAAAATATTATAGTTATAACATACATACATTGTGCAAGAGGTTAAAAATTGGTATGCAAAATTCAGATTACCTTCTGCTCAAGCTCTACTTACATGCAATATTGACAATAATTCATTATTTCCGTCTAAATAACATTTGCAAAGAGCTTGTTCTAAACCTACTTGCTAATCAAAGTAAACGAATGTCTCTTCCTTTCACACTTAATGCACATTGTACATTCCATGGTACTATTGCATTCAAAATTAGGATATTCACAAACCAATAACATTTATCTTGTAAATACTAAATCATTGTTTAATTTATCAAGTCAGTTTTGTCTATCTGGATACACCAGAGCTTCATGCATACAACTCACTTGTTTCTCAGAGGCTGGTTTTGGATGATATCTTGCAGCAGTAACCTTGGTAGTGTAACCTCATCAAGATGAGTGTGGAATGGAGAACTGGTGTCCCTTCTCTCAAACAGCTCAGGATGATTGCACACCTAGGATAACGCAGAGTAACAGATAACAATCTGATAACAATCAAAACAATTGCCTCAGTGGTGGCCTTCAAGCCAGGAGGTCAAGGGATTTGAACCCCATCCAGAGGACCGATACCCTTGGGAGAGGCATCAACTCTCCATTACCGAGTCCTTAGGATACGAGTTTTAAGCTATTTGTCCCAATGTGATTGCTTATCTTACACAACTCATAAAAATAAACATCAACATTCAACTAGTATTTTATCAATCTGTTCATTGTATGCACTAACTCTAGCTCACGTTCACTGGAAGTCCAATATTTAGTTCTCACAGTTATATGGTAATATAATTAAACTCATATTCCCCCACCCCCCCCCCCAAAAAAAAAAAGGATGAGATAAAAAAAAATTAAAAAAATAGCCTGTAAAACAAACCTTTCTTAACAAGAAACAAGTTCACCTAGCTTAATTAGTAAGTGCTGAACTCTTAAACAAGGTACTGATGCATACATGCCAACATTTGAAAATCAGAAATCTGTACAAATTATGCTATTTTCAAAAAAAAAGAGGAACAATCCTAACTCTCCTATTCAATACTACAGACAAATTTGTACAGGAAGAGGAACACCTGCATTAAAATGATAATTATCTTCTCCCAAAAAGAGGAATGTTCCTCTTTAATCTGAACAGTTGGCATGTATGCTGATGAGCAAAGCAACTGACCCTCCTAACCTGCATGATATGGTTCATGAGATCATTGTTCTCTGAGGTGGTAGAGGAGTGAGATTTGAACAAGTCTTTGAAAGAGATGCTGTACAACAAACTTATTTGGGCTAGAAACATTCTCTAGTTTGACCAAATGGAATTTTTGTCTGTTCGACTACATTAGAAATACTAAAAATGTTGAAAAGCTAGTTTGACTAGCATATATAAACAGACCTTCCTGAACTGCATGACAAGGTTCATGAGATTATTGGTCTGTGTCTGCGCGGTGGTAGAGTAGTGAGACTTGAACAGGTCTTCGATGGAGATCTTGTTCTTGATGGCTCGGTAGAAGAGACGTTGACGAGTGCTCAGCTGACAGTACATCAGAATCTCAATCTAATAACGTATAATACAAAGTAAAGAAATGAAACAAAACTTGTGTTAATATTTGATACATTACTCTCAAAATCACCAATGATGAAAAATTAATGCACTCTTCAAAATATCAAGACAGCACTAAACCCTTTTGAACTTCTTCATCATGATTCTAGATTTAGTCTTGTTGAATATATGAAATTCAAGTTTTGCATACATGTTATTCAATCATCATTCTCCATTGCCACATACGATGTTCTAAAAAGTAAGTACCAAATACTTACTTTGGTCTCATTTCACACAATCTCCATTCACTACCACCATCTAATAAATCATTCTCAGTGACAAATACTTTGTCATTATAAACTTTATTATATTTTATGATATTGTTCAATCCATTCAATATATCATCTGTTGAGAGCCAGAAGGGTGTTAACTGTGTACGACTGCGAGTTGATACCCTTTTGGCACCCAACCAAACTAATACCCATGAAATTGACCTCAGGACATGACTTTGTCTATGACCTTGTCTATTACCTTGTCTGAGAGCTCGTTCTCCACATCCTTCTTGACTCTCCTCAACATGAAGGGTTTCAGTATCATGTGCAATCTAGATAGTTGCTCTAAAGGGATGAGAAAAGAACACATGTCCATGAATTTACAATGCAATGATATCACTCTCACAAGTAATCCTTATCACTTCAAAACAAAAAGAAGTATACAACTTGTTCCTATCCGTGACAATTGTTTGAAATCTCCACACGTCATGATGCAAACATCAGCAACTATACCAAAAACATTTATAAATGATAACTCTTTATATACGGTACAATTGAGATTCCTTTCTGAATGGTTAAATTCACAGTTGGTAGAAAAGATGATCAAGCTTGATAAGTAAATTAATTTGGAATATCTTTTCATGTGAAAGGCAAGTATGAGCCTCATGCATACTTCATGACAAGGCCATCCTATCTCATGATAGTACTTCACAAACTCATTTGGACATACCTTCATCAAATCCAGACTGTTTCTCTGCATGACTCTCTATGTCCTTAGAGAACCAATCGTTGAACTCTTCATGGCTATCAAACAGAGTTGGCATGATGAAATGAAGCAAGGCCCATAACTGTGAAAGAAAAGAAAACAAATACATAGTTAAAACTACTCATGTCCTGAAGAACATAAATGGAATATTTTCTTTTAAAGCCCCACTTAACTACTTGTAGCTACTTGCTCATGAACCTCTTTTTCTTATGTTAATTGAGAGCTGAGTTGATGAGATAGCCACATGTCAGTGACCATGCTGGGTGGTCTAATCCCTCCTGGCCAAACTAGTACAGATGGGCTTTAAAAAAATAAAATACTGAGAGGCTTAACCCAATAAGCATATAAAGGTTAGGGTTAGGTTTAGGATTATGATTATGATTAGAATCAGGGTTAGAGTTGCTTGTGGGAAGAGATATTGTGCAGTTGTTCCAAAGAAGGAAAGTCGCCCTTCATTTTTACAAATCTATGATATATCATTTGCAGATCAAATGTCCAATTTGAAATTTTCAAAATACAAGCATTCTTACCTCTGCCATGCTATTCTGGATAGGTGTACCGGTGAGCAGAAGCCTGTTCCTACAGTTGAACCCTAGCAGTAGTCTCCAGCGAACACTAGAGCTGCTCTTGATGGCTTGGGCCTCATCAAGGATCATGTAATGCCACTTGATGCGTTGGAAATACCTGATGTCCTGTACAACCAGCTGATAACTGGTCACTAAGATGTGGAACTCTGCTTGTTCCGTGTGGAGTACAGAGGAGCTTTGACCCCAGAACTTGCGGAGAGTCTTGCGGTCCTGAGGATTCCCCCAGTAGGGCAATACCTGCAAGAAATGAGAATGAAGGATGTATACAAGAGTAAGAGCGCAAAACCAGAGCAAGTTCAGAAATTTATTGAGCAGCTAGTCTAGGTAATGTCCCTTTGCTCCAACAGAACTCATCTCCATCTCCTTCAATATTTTCTTTTCTCTCTTTACATCTAATACATATCTTTCTCATAAAACTTATTAAAATTGTACAATTTGCACTACATCTATTTTTTATAATGAATATGTATATATGTAATTATTTCTATATATGTCTTTATTTCTTTTGTCTTCTGCATTCGTATCTTGATTTTGAAATGTTTGTAAAGCGCATTGGTATTACCTTTGGTAATTAAATTCGCTATATAAGAGCTAATTATTATTATTATTTTTATAATGCAGTTCAAGACAGCAGAGATATCCCCCCCCCCCCCCACCGAAAAAATCCCAGCTGATCATCTGTTTTAGGGAGCTGCGTAGCAACGCATATCTCTATTTCCTACTGGGTGAAATCCTGTTAATGTATGTATGCTTTTAACCTACCCTGAACTTTGGCACGAATCTACTGCACTCTTGAGTCCAGTTGTGTAGAGTTGATGCTGGTGCAACCACTAGAAATGGACCCCAGATACCTTGGCTCTGTGGAAAACAATCATTAATAATCATGCTAGTTATAACAACTTACTCACAAATTATTTACAATGTCATGATTAAAAGAGCTCTTGCACAAAAATTCACAGAATTTTATCAGGTCTAATCAAAATCATACAGACATGTATACTTTTACCAGACAATCATTTCACATAAATGCTTTATACTATTCACACATGTATAAACATCTTCACATTGCTACATGGACTATCATCAAGTACTGATATCAAAAAATCAATAGCAGCAAACATGATTTGCTGCTACTTTGCTAAAAAAAAAATCACACATGATCGGAGCATGATTAAAGATTGTCAATGGTATACTTTCAACTCAACAAAATCGGTGTTCATGGAAATTCATGAGACAATGAAAAAAAAGTGCAATACTTTGTAATAGATAGACTATAACACAAAAGACACAACGAAGCCCAAGACAGAACAATGCTTTTCCTGCATTTAGCTTTAAGAGATCATGTTATGACAAGACATGTATGAAGATGTCACTACTGAATCTCATAGAGGAACATACCTCAGCTAGATGAGCTAGAAAGGCAATACTCTGTACTGTCTTCCCCAGACCCATCTCATCAGCTAGAATGCCATTGATACCACAGTCATACAGGTTGATTAGCCAGTTCATCCCTTTAAGCTGATACGACTTGAGGGTCCCTCGGAACATGGAGGGTTGCGGATGCTGCTCCGTGTCCATAGATGTAGTAGACAAACTAAATGCTAAAGTGAGAAAGGGGTACAGTCTTGCAAATAAATAACCTTGTTCATTCTCAATCATTACCCTTCAAACATCTAGAGTAATAGCTTTCAACACAGGTTAATGTATCACAAACATTTTATTAAATTAACTAAATATCTAATAAAAATTTGGGGTCATTTTCATAAAGAAACTTATTCCTAAGAGGCCAGGCAACCAGAAAACTGGAAATATTGTGCCCTAGTTTTTATGCCATGCCATTCAGATTGAAGGCTTAAAAGCTCCAATGGACATATTTTGTGTACAATACATGCATTTCAATAAAAGGATCAACCTATTTACTTCATCATATATGTTTATATGATTGTCTACAAGCTTTTCTCTAATAAATAAAACCCTTAAATTTAAAATGGAAACATTAATATCATACTGCAAGTAATGGTGTTATTTGTTCTTACCCGAGTCTTGCTGTGGCAAATGTAATTCAGTATCAAAATCATTCTTGGAGTTCTCAAATGAGTTGTATGCGTGGGTCACATTCAATAAGGCACGTTGCTTCATCGTCTCAGTATCTGCCACAAGAAAATACCCAGACAAATTGTCTTAATTCAAAATAACCAAAAGTATATTATTTTGTGGTGTGTGTATACATAAAAATTAAAAAAAGTCATCATACATCATTCCTAATAGATCATTGCCCGATTGTTTCTCAATGTTTATATACAGGTTTGTGTGGATAATATTCACTTCACTAAAATCTACATCTCTAGTCCAATGATTTAGAAAAACAACATGATGTAATTTGAATGAAACCTAATTTTACCTATCATCAAAACTACTGACAGCCTGACTAGAGATTCCTTATATGGAAATAACAAGAATATTCCTTCACATCTCAATTAATTCTTGTCTCTTGTCCTGCACTGAGCAAATATTCCATACTTAAAAATTTGCCCCTTACTGAAATTTCACAAATACTTATGGGCATATTTTGGAGTAGTTACATACAGAAGCTTAATCAAGAGTCTTATTTTACAAGTATAGAACTATTATATATCTAATCCTAAAGTGTATTCTCCTAATCACCGACCCCCTCCTCCCTCCACACACACACACACACACACACACACAAATGTTACAGAATGGCTGAAATTAAATTTCCATATTCTAAATGTTATTTGTGACATAGAGCTACATAAATATTTTGTAACACATTGACAGAACAGTCTGTAACAGTGATGGCTTTACCATAATCATCTGTTTCTATATCCACAAGTAGGCCCTGTTTGACAGTACGCAGTCGTTTAGGTGTCTTCTCATCCAGCATGTTGAGTATACGATTCCTTTCCTCATCTCCCTGGCCCGTCAGCTTACGGCTCATGAAATGAGCATAGAGTTCGGTCTGGGTGATCAGGAAGTTCAGTTTACGCTGCGTTCGCTTTGCCTAGGAGGGGGGAAGCAAAGATCATAAATACAACTCAACCAAAGTCATGAAAGTAATAGTTAATTATATTCAATAGGAACATTATGTAAGATAGCTTTTAAAATCAAGTGATTTTCACGTTTAAAGTGACTTGGTAACATTGTTGAAGGTTGATGAAAAAATTGCTTAATTTTTGTATAAAATGTTACATACTATATTCCTTCTACTGTACTAACCCTCTGACATGCAAAAAATCCTGAAAAATTCTCAAACCACAAAGATATCTATGGTTTTCTTTGAAGGAGTCGATGTATGACACCCTCTAACAGTGATTAACAGTAAATTCTCCCAACCATTTTTGAATTTTCCCAACCGTTTTTCCATGAAAAAAAAAACATAAAACAGGCTATAAAAAATCTGTCAACACTTAAATGTCTGGGATGGAAATGTAGAGTCATTTTATTGCTTTGTGACGATTTCCATTCACCTAAATTGTAATTAAACTGTAATAATATAGTTGGGAGAATTAAGGAATCGATCAGATCAGTTTTTCTCAATTTGTACCATGAATAATGGTCCGTTTTCACTCAAATTTTCAGATTATCTTTAATTGTACATATAGCATTGAAGTCACTACCTTAGCACAAGTATCTCGCATCTGATCAATGTTACCAAGTCCCTTTAAGAACCTGTTTCTGACAAATTAAACCAATTATAATGAGCTTGGAAACTTAGATAAATGACAGTGAGAAAAGCATGTTTCACATTTCCTGAGATTTCAGATATCTCCTGAACCTTATGAAATCCCAGGGATATACAATACACAATATTAGAAAGTAAGTCACCTCTCTGAACTCATCGTCAATCCTTCTCTGTTCCTGGGCTTCTTTCTCTGCCTTCCTGCGGTGTTCTTTCTCCACCTTCTCATAGTGCTTCCAGAATGCCATCATCTCACGGGTAAGACGTCTTGCCCTGTAAGGTGTCTCCTTGCACACCCTCTGGGACTGGATGGCAGCTCGGCGTAGCTCCTTCTGGCACCCCTGAGCCATCTTCCGACAGTTTGTGAGTATGTTGTTGTGCACTGAAGCACGATGTTTGTGAGCCTGTGTATGCAGGAGTAAATTCATGGTCAGTAATTAGCTGAATGGTTTCTGACATTGTTGAATAAAATACTCCCTCTAATGATATATTTTCACTGATGCAGTGTGTTCAATAACATATCTGAAGAACAGAAATGAGGAAATATTCTCTTTTTAGAAATAAAATAAACAGTAAAATTTCTAATTAAAAAAAAGAGAGAGCTGCCCGAAAAGGTAATCCCAGAGTTGCCAATAAGTGCTTTGATGAATACCTACCTCATAACTTTCTACTCCTTCACAGGATTTTCCTCACACTTTCACTTTTCTCTTCCACCATTATCTTCTTTTACTGCAGTCAACTTAATACCAGGGAGGACTTACCTTTAAAACAGGACATTCCCAAAAATGCACTAAAAAACAATCAATTATAACTGTAAAACCAGAATCTTTCTACCATTGGTAAGCTCTGTCTTTTTCTCAACAAGAAACTTGCAAGATACTAAAAAATTAATACTTGTTATCATTGTTGTTAAATCAATTACTCTGCGGCAAGAAAACATCGCATATTTTCGCCATTATTTGAATATTTGTTGAGTTTCAAGTATCAGATATTACAGAATATCAATGATTCCATGACAAGTGATATGTTATGATATAAGAGACTTCATACCTTGGGGATATCTCTCTTTGCAATGGCCAGCCATATTCTCTTCCTTCGGGCATCAACGTCCTTGATTGAGGTGAACTTTCTATTAGCATCCTGAAACACAGCTACTGAGCCATCATAGTCCGAGACACACTCCTGCATCATCTACGCAACAACAAACACAACCAGACTTCCTTTGTTACAATGCACTCAAATTAATCATACACCTACAGCTAAAAGAATCATAATACACTACATCATATAAACAAACGATAGCTATACAGAAGACTTCAGAAGTCAGAACGAAAAAAAGAATCATAATCTCACTATGTAGGATATTTCAGGGGAGGGCAATGGTGTGGATATTTGTGTACAGGTCTCAGAAGTTTTAAAATGAAGAACAGCATTGATTTGATGAGCATTGGCATACATACACCATTTGATACAATTAAAAATGACATATTTTAAATGTGAAGATGTGACAAATCAATGAAACATGGTCGTATATTTAACAAGGTTAAGCAACATTTTTTCCAACTTCAATCAGATTCAAATATCTTACCTGTGGCTCACCCTGATCCTCACTTAGTTCTTTCCTATCTCTCTCTCGCTTGAGTTTTTCTGAACGTAAATAAAAAAGAACAAGCAGTTAAGATTAATAGATTATCAGATATATATATTCTAAGCTAATAGCAGTGAGCTAAACACAGAGATTATACCAGTTTCATGTGACTCAGGAGTTTATCGATTTCTATTCTCATGATCAGCAATTGCCAAAACATGGATAGAGTGGTAACGGAATTGAATGATTCAATTAAATGTATTTCAAGTGGGAAAGTAAGCTACGCTCTATCCATTTTTTCTAATAGATGTAAATCTGACATAAGTGTTCAGTAAGTATGGATTTCGTTATTACTTTCCATGACCATTTTCTCAAAAACAAGCCTACACTAGCATTTCAAATAGTACATAAGAACTGAATCCTTTCAATTATTATACTTAACATACAAAGTAAACAATATAGTCTCATTCATATTACGCAGTAAACTCCTGTACTTTTTTAAATTTTAACTAAATTTTTGCACACATCCAAAGCCCTACGCATACTAACTCATTCGCATGCTATAAGATAGGGAACTATAAAACCTATTACTCTTCTACCACTATACTGCTCTGAGAATAAGTAACGTCTCACCTTTGATTTTACTACTGCTAGAAGTTTTCTTAGCTTTCTTGGGACCAACGATTGTCCTCTGATGGTCCAGGAATTTGTCGTAGTTGGACAGAAGTCCTGCACTGTAGTACTGATATTGCTGAAGCTAAAGATAGCAAAAAGTAAAATTATACATATATGTTGAGGTATACTTGTCAAATAAGAAGCAGACAAACGACGGTATCCTCAAAAAATATCAAAACAAAATATACAAATTCTTAACGAATTCTCATTAAAAACATTTCTTCTTTGAACACTTAAATCAAAATTTCATCAAGCAGCCACCTACATTCCATAAAGATTACAAAATCAATTCCTAAAGAATGATTCATAGATCACTTTGGATTCTTATTTCATTTGAATTTTGCTGACATCAAACAACATTACATTTTGTCAGACCAGGTGAAATTTCCTTCAAACTTACTTCGCTTTCTATATAGACCTGGTTTTTACACTGTCTCCCAAATTTATGTAGTCTCAGCATTTCCCGGAGGTCATTTTTTGAGAGAGACTTGTCCTCTTCTTCCTCATCCTCAAGATCGGATGAATCACTCAACAGGATGGCCTGAAATGATGAAAATAATCAATGATTATAATTTGTATCTCACATTCAAAGAATCTTGCAACGACCTTAGTCAATATATGGTCAAATGATGCATGATAGATTGCCTATCATGGCAGTCAAAGGCGATAACTACCACACATGCCGTAGTCGTTTTTCACTTCTTTTGCAAGACAAACACACTAAAAGTCTTGTGAAAGTGAAAGTTTTGTGAAATATTAAATATTTTATGATGAATGCTTATTGTTGACTATGCCAATTTCCAGCACCACTTAAGCTCCTGAAGGTGGTAGCCCAGATATAAGCCTCAGTACAGACAGTTTGTCCAACTGTCCTTCCAGATTATTCTTCCTGTTCAAAAAAATTAGATATATGCTCACATTTTGAAATTACTTCTCTTTATATAAACAGATGCAAAACTATTAATTTTGTTTTTGATATTTAAAAAATGGAAGGATATTAATTAGCAACTTATAAGGAAGTCTGAGATACAAATATAATAAGCAAATTAATGAGATGCACAACTATCCTTTCAGGGTAGGAAAACAAGATAATTTTCACAGGTTTTGCATCTGAGTAGCTAATATTTTAATCACCAAATTGGAATATAAAACAATCATACCTTGAGCCACCTCCTATTCTTCTTCACTTTCCCAAAGTTGAAAAACTTCCTCTTGTCTGCTCTTCTCTCTGTCAAATACAAAAAGAATGCAAGTAGATGACAGATGATTGATGTTCTTTCATTAATTCCTGATCACATTCCTGCCATCGATGTATGCCTGTCATTTATGCCTTTCCACTAATCAATAACTGTACAATTTTTACGCATCAACTATAGTATCAACATTTCCCGAGAAAAATTATTTCAAAAGGTTCTGATAGATGAGATAATTATCAAGCAAAGAGCAGCAAGAGCTTTTAAGCAATTCAGCTTCAAAATATTTAGTGTAAAGATTAGTGTACAGAACTAAACAACTGGATTGGTGTATTGCAAAACATGCCTACATGTACATGTATGAATCAGGGTACAATATGTTTTCACAAATAATTGCTTTTCAAACTCGGCATAAAGCTATGAATTCAGTACTAAGAAGAAAAAAACTTGAACAAAACATCAGACAAATATATAAGAGTTGGGTTCTGGTTTGGTGAAAATTTTGGTAAAGTGCACTCTTTCATTTGTTTGTTTTTTTTAATATAAAAACTTCCCATTTCAAACCACTGTTACAGTTTACCTTGACCCCCCCCCCCCCCCCCCCCCCATGACACAAAAATGAAAATTGAAATGTTAATGAAGTTTTTATTGTCCATTCATAATTTTTGTTTCATTGCTGTGAATTTTACAAATGAATTTACAAATAGAAGTAATCATAAGCAGATGTAATAATGATTTAATTTACAATGCAAAATACAATTATTTATCAACCCCTATCGTAAAATTAAAATAATTGCTGTAAGTGTAGCAGATTTGCTTTCTGAAACACTTTTTAAAGGGATATGCACAAAAAGTTGAATAAGACCTCACCTGCTTTGGCTAGTGTATCACTGTTTACAGTATCTTGGTCACATTTAACATCTGATAGGAACCCCTGGTCAATGACAGGGTTTGGCAGAGTCTTGGGCACAAATTCTCTTCCAATCTCTTCTAAATCTTTGTCTTTTTCTGGTGATTTTCCCTCTCTGAAAAATGAGGTGGGAAAACAAGTGAACTATACATGTAGTTAAATTAATTCATTATAATACATACATTTTTTTTAATGAATATTCGTTTGTCCTGAAATATCTCTGGATGTTCTTTCTGGCCATTATAGAATGCTACAAAGTGATGATCTAACCCAAATACCACCAACAGGTATGCTTGTTGTTGTTGAGATTAATGGCGTTTCCATCGTCATTTTAATGGATCATACGGTACTTAATTTATACTTTTCTATAACACATTTTTAACTTTTGTTTACAATGGATTAGATATTGTTTTCATCTCCACTTGATACGAAAATGAAAATATTCAACATGCCAGCCCCCCTCTCTACCCCCACCCCCCCCCCCTTTTTCAGTAAGAGGGGGGGGGGGGGTGATGTTACATGGACATCATGTTTATATAACATTGCATAACCTTTGGGTCTATAATGTTGATTTACCATGAAGATAGAGTACTTCTAAACATGTTTGGCTATGCCTTTTAAGCTAAACTAAATTTAAGCAAACATTGTTATGGTTGATCAGAGACATAGTTTCTCGCTTCTGGTATGTCACAAAAATTGCCCCAACCCCATACAATGACCCCGAGACATTAACTGCCCACAAGAAACATGACTACATGTACATGTACTGGAATGAGGCTTATTCCAGCAGTATAGCTGGCCAAGGCCCACAAAGAATATACTTACAGTAAGGGCTCTTCCATGCACTGATCTACAAAGTCAAGAAATGAGTCCAAACGAACAGCGTGTTCCAGACGCTGGATATGAATGGGTTTGGCAAGTGGGACGCCCCCTACTGGGCCGTCGGGCGGAATCGCTTCCACTACTGCAGACCCGGCTGAAGTATTTTCTTCACTCATTCTGAGCAAGCCATGACATTATCCCTTGTCACACAGGCTGTACTGTCCTTCACTGTGACAAATAACGAAAAGAAAATAAATAAATAAATGGTTTATGGGGTGCAGTAATTCATGCCTACATTGATCTGTAAGTTAGTGAATTAGGATTACTATGGGAAAATTTGTGACTTTCCAGAAAACACTGCGTATTAGCCTTTACATTTTGTAAATATTTCAAGTTCATACATTATGTAAGCGGTCGGCCAGAATAAAAAAAGTGTGGTTTGATTGCACTACTTCACAAATAAGTACACCATGTTTATTCGAAAGATATTATCATAATACACAATATTTCATGTGTCTTTCTTTTAAATTGTAGCGGTCACCTCTAAATTGATCCACTAATAATATTTTAAGGAAACCTGGAAGTTTTGGAACCACCATTTGGTGTCATATAAATAAAAGAAATGAATTATTTAAATGTTGATACCAATTTCAATTTAATTAATTTCAATGAACATCACAATTGTAAGTAAAAAACATTTTGTGTGTTATTTTTTTCCCCCCAATTTTTTTTCTCCATATTTGTGGTTCTCAGAAAATAATGGACTGGAACACAAGCTGGACAAAATAAAGAACTGCTCATGAGTAAATTCCCCAAACTCCCCACGGCCAATCCGCCCCTGGATGTTTCCTTAGGAAACATGCAAGTATCTCTTTTTCTGCCAAAAGCGACAGGTGTTGTCAGTGGAAAAAGGCCCTTTGTAAAAAGCAATTGCATAGGGGTCACTAGACAGAGGAGGGAGGGAGGTGGATGAGAGGTGGATGAGAGGTGGACTCGACCTTTACTTAACAATTTTATAAACATTTTACCCTAGAATTTGATGAAAAAATCTTAAAACTTAAATTATAAAAAAAATATATACAGGTGATAAATCATAATGTCATTTTTGACGTTGACATAAATGCAGTCTTTATCTTGTGTTTAAAACAATAAACAAAACACTTTGTGAATCAAACAATGTACCATGCTCCTGATGATTCAAATCTCAAATGTTCATCCCACACTCATCTCTATAATAAGCACTGTCTTCAGGTCTGATGCCTCAATATCTTTAAAATTTCAAAACTTGTTTGTATTCTTTAAATGACAAATATTTACAGAATGCTACATTACTAAATGCATAATTCTCATAAAAGGCCTGTATTCCTGATTCAGCAGACACGTTACAATGTAAACCTGGCTTAACTTGGTCCAACTTATTATGCAAGGCCAAAGGTCATCTCCAAAATCCAAATATATACAAAAAATTTCATATAGCCAAGTTTTTGTGTTTCAAATCTCTGCGCAAGCCTTAGTACACCAAACTTATTGCTGCTGTTGTTAAGCCTGCATTAAATTGGCAATGCGAAATCAGCCCCTGTCGCGTACACCATTTGTATATGCTTTTCCGGCTGAATCAATATTGCCAAATCTCATCAATGATCAGCGCTTTTGTAATGTAAATAACATGTTTTTTACATGTAAGCTAATTATCAACCAGACACATGGAAGGTAAGCAAATCGCTATCACTCCGGTATCAAATTTTCACATTTTTGGTTAAATTCTTGACCTATTTCAAAGTGCTTTGCATGAGTAGGGTGCCAATTAAGGCTAGGTGATATATATTCCACATACTGTACTAAGAATCTTGCTCTATGATTGGTCAAAAGTAAATCATGTGATGAAAGATAGTTCGCCCATCATTGATGGGAGAAGAAAAGTTTGTTGCACTGTGTAGATAGTAGTATTGTATGCGTTACCAGAGCTGCCAACCTTTGGAAGTACAAATTAGTACTCAGCACCTCCAAAATTAGTATTTTACCATCAAAATTAGTATTTTTCAGCACAGCGCAAATGCATACCGTAAAGACCATATTTTTGCTGTAATTAGTTTTTTTAAAACATATTCAATTGTACATGTTCATCTATATACCTTGTTTTAACTGCAAACTCAGTTCTTTTTAGTTCCAAGCTCTTGCTTTAGCCACAAAATCACCTTGAAGATTCACACACAAGTGACTACCGTATTTGCCGGCAATAAGGCCGCACCGCCGCATAGGTCGCACCCCAACTTCGACATTTCAAAGAGGAAAAAAAAAAAAAAAAAAAAAAAGGAAAAAAAAACAAATGGACAAAACTAAATAATCATAATTTTCTCGAAAACACTATTTTTTTTTTACAAACTGATACCAAATTCATCCATATTCTTATAATTTACCGGAAGTTTAGCTAAAAAAGTGATCGCAGGCAGATTTGGTGTCCGATATTCCCCTACCACAATGTACAGTGTAATGCGAAACTGCATGAAATGGAAAAACAAAATGGCGACTTTGGATGGATGTTCGCGGCAGCTCCGTTAGACGGTCCCTTCCTTTAGATCAAGATCTATCGGCAAATGTTGTGTTAGGACGTTTATTTTCGTCTTCATGTCAACAATGCAAGATAAAATTGTCGGTAAGATGTTTGGAAATGTCCTGTACCATAGTGGTATTGTTATTTACCGTTTCTAGTCCCATACGTGCAAATTCGTGCTCATTTTGACTTTTTTTTTTTTTTTTTTTACTCTTTCGTCGTAAAGGCTGCACCCCGACTTTTTGATATTTTCTCTTCCAAAAATACTGCGGCCTTTATGCCGGCAAATACGGTATAAGCCACTCCATATAAAATGATGCACTGAATTCACAATATGGCTCTTGTAAAAATCTGCAATAATGTAGCAGAGATGCCAACCTCTTGACACAAAAAAACAGACGGAGTATCCTAAAAAATCAGATTTTGGAGAGAAAAATCAGATTTTCATGAAAACTCGACACTACCAATGGCCGGTTGGCCCCGGGACAGTAAAATTTCAGAAAAATGTGATACTGGTACGTACAGTCAAGTAAAATGTTTGCTCTTTCATTAAAATTTTAAAAGAAAATTGTGAAGCAAAGTTTTTGTTGGGGCTGCGGGGGTTTACTTGTTCATGTTTTAATGCGATTCCGTGGTTTTTATGGGTATTACAAAAAATATATTAAAAATATTTGAAAAATCTTATTTTAAGAGGTGATATCTTATTATCGTATGCCACTCTTATTATCATACTAAATACGATTAAATCATACTGGTTAGATGTTAATTGATGACTTGGTGCTCTAAAATGACGGAAGAAGTGAAATGTTTCCGATGTAGAATATAAAGGGAATACCGGTAATTAGTGCTGTAGTCAAACGTTTAACCGTCCGGTATCCGACCGCCCATGGCGGATTCCGTTTTCAATTGGACGGTTTCGTTTTCCCGATTTTTTTTTTTTTTTTAAGTTTCGATTTATGCCCCTCCACCTGGCACTATGCCTGGCAATGTCTCCCAGCTCAGTAATCTGTGTGTTGACCAAAACTAGAACAGAATACTAGAACAACACTCCAATTTGTCTGTCATCTTGGTTTGAAAGTAATCTTTGTAATAGATCTCATCATCTCAATATGTAGTTTATAATAATAATTCATCCAACTTTTACACAAGGTTCTATCCTAGGTCCTCTACTGTTTTTAATTTACATTAATGATATTACACATTCTTCTAAAAACGACATTGTTACTATTATTTGTTATAAGTTCACAAGCACAAATCGGCCCCTTTAAATGCATCTCGCAGTTAAATGAAAGCCCTTCCCGCTTTTTCACACGGACCTGCTGCCGAGTCGGTAAAAAAATTTTTTTTTTAAAAAACGATTTTTTTAAAAAAATCGTTTAACCGAAAACCGTTCGGTTTTGACTGGCGGTTAACTCTTTGTTTGCTTTGTTCGCCGATTTGCACGGACGTAGGCGTGCCAACTTCGCATTTTTGCACAGATGTATACGAGTCAATTAGACATTCATAATACCGCTCGCAGTGTGTAGCCACGCGTTGCGTTTACTATTGTTTACATTGTATACATCGCACACTTTCCGGTAAACTGTTTTTCTTCATAGTGTTACATTCGAAATTACCGTGTATTTAGCGGTTTTCTTTGGATTTTTTTTACTGATGTTACGATGGCACCTGCTGGAAAACGTCAACGTGTGTTTAGTGTAGAGGAGGCTCGAGATCTTGTTACTATGGAAGCATGGAGCATGGACTCTGATTCCGACGAATCGAGCAGTGACGAAGACTCTAGTGATAAAAGTGTTCCCTGAGAGTAGACTGATAGAATAAGAATGAATAAAAATTAATGAAAGAGCTAGAGATGACAGCAAGAAAGAGAGTAGACTGATAGAATAAGAATGAATAAAAAAAATGAAAGAAGGAGATAGAGATGACAGCAAGAAAGAGAGTAGACAGTGATAGAATAAGAATGAATAAAAATAATGAAAGAAAGAGATAGAGATGACAGCAAGAAAGAGAGTAGACTGATAGAATAAGAATGAATAAAAATTAATGAAAGAGCTAGAGATGACAGCAAGAAAGAGAGTAGACAGTGATAGAATAAGAATGAATAAAACTAATGAAAGAAAGATGTATCCTGTCTTGCCGTCATCTTTATATCTTTCTTTTATTATCTTTATTCATTCTTATGCTATCAGTGTTTACTCTCTTTCTTTCCGTCATCTCTATCTTATTATTATTATCATTTTCCTATCTATATGTACCCTATGTCTTGCCGTCATCTGTATATCTTTTTCTTATTATCTTTATTCATTATTATGCTATGAGTGTAATACTCTCTTTCTTGCCGTCATCTCTATCTCATTATTATTATCATTTTCCTATCTATATGTACCCTATGTCTTGCCGTCATCTCTATATCTTTCTCTTATTATCTTTATTCATTCTTATGCTATCAGTGTTTACTCTCTTTCTTTCCGTCATCTCTATCTTATTATTATTATCATTTTCCTATCTATAATTATGTACCCTATGTCTTGCCGTCATCTCTATATCTTTCTCTTATTATCTTTATTCATTCTTATGCTATCAGTGTTTACTCTCTTTCTTGCCGTCATCTCTATCTTATTATTATTATCATTTTCCTATCTATATGTACCCTATGTCTTGCCGTCATCTGTATATC